CCCTCTACTCATCGCCTGGCAGGCCCAGATGCAAACTGATCGACACCAGAAATATACGACCGTCTGTATATGGACACGAACAGAGGACGGATAGCTTTGATCCCAGTGACGTCCCTGGGTGGCTGACATGAGGCACGTTAGGCACAAACTCTGTACCAAAGAAAATAATACAAATAGACCAAATATGGTGGGCGCCCCACGAGGGTTGCTATGCAAGTATCTGTACCGTGTGAGGCAGGGGTAGAAGAACCTGTTCCGCAGCCTATCTGTGGTCTGCTTCTCAACTCCAGGCCACTAGCAAGCCGCGGTTCCGTGGGCTTTAACGAATGATCGAGGCTGCACTGATGAAGGACCTATTCCGCAGCCTGTCTGTGGTCTGCTTCTCAACCCCAGGCCACCAGTAAGCCGAGGGTCCGCGCGCCTTGACGAATGATCGAGGCTGCACTGATGGAGTACAGTTGGTTGATAGACCTAAGCCGCGGGGAAGATATCGGGCGTTGATGTCGATAGCTAATGCACCACACGATAACAACCGACAGAAGGCCCTTATCAGGATGCTAGCTACGACTGGTGTGGGGTAAATGTAGATGCGGTGTCAATGTATACAAAGCAAAGAAGGCATCAATGGGCTATAGAAAGCTAGTGAAACATTGAAAGTCGAATATCCATAAAAGGGTCAAATGCATTATGAGGTATGCGAATAGCTGTAAATGTTAAAAATAATCTCAGAGCATCTTGCCGATATTCTCGGTATTTTTCCAACCGATCTTTCCCAGCGAGCAATCCATGGTAACAGTTCTTGTAACCTAGGCGGAGAATCGGCGACAGTCACTGAAACATATGGCTGGTAAAATATACATGCGGAAGAAACGGCACGAAACATCCGGCTTTCGGTCATGCCTTCAGAGAAACGCGGTGAACGGTTCGACACGTCCGTTAAACATGGCGCCTGGCCAGCCGGGGCACGGAAGGTGGACTCCCCGGGACAGCCCACCAGTAAAACAAACCCTGACCGCAGGCAGCCCACCAGGTCAATTAATACCGAGCGCAGACATTCCAGCAGGTCAACTAACGTCGACCGCAGACATTCCAGCAGGTCAACTAACGCCGACCGCGGACAGCCCAGCAGGTCAACTAACACCGACCGCAGACATCCCGGCAGGTCAACTAGCCCTGACCGCAGACATCCCGGCAGGTCAACTAGCCCTGACCGCAGACATCCCGGCAGGTCAACTAGCACTGACAGCAGACATCCCAGCAAGTCAACAAATGCCGAGCGCAGACACCCGGACAGGTCAACTAACGCCGACCGCAGACATTCCAGCGGGTCAACTAACGATGACTGCAGACATCTCGGCAGGTCAACTAACGCAGACCGCAGACGCCCAAGCAAGTCAACTAGCACTGACCACAGACATCCCAGCAGGTCAACCAACGCCGAGCGCATACACCCGAACAGGTCAACTAACGCCGACCGCAGACATTCCAGTGGGTCAACTAACGCTGATTGTAGACATCTCGGCAGGTCAACTAACGCCGACCGCAGACATTCCAACAGGTCAACTAACGCTGACTGCATACACCCGAGCAGGTCAACTAATGCTGACTGCGGACACCAGAGCAGGTCAATTAACCATGACCGCAGATAGCTGTGCGAGATCAGTGGGCCGGAGTGAGGCGGGTCGGCGACTGACGCGTCCCGTGGCCGCCGACCGCGGCGACACCGTGTGGCAGTTAGATGCAAAATTATTCATGGATCGGATGATGGATGGTGGTCATCTGGCGGCTGCTTAATCACACACGGCTGCGGCGGGCCGAGGTGGCAACTCTAGCGCGAGGCGTGTCCTATGCCCGATCCGTCAGCGCTGCCTCCGGGGCCGCGTGTCCCGTGAGAGGCCCCGTCCAGCGGAGGTGGCCTTTCACCAACGTGAGGCTCTCTGACGAGTGGCTTGCCGGTGCCGTCTCCGGCGCCGCGTGACCCACGAGAGGCCGGGGCCTCCCCGGCCGGCGGAGGTGGCCTCTCATCGACGTGAGGCTCCCAGACGAGAGACCTGCCGGCGCTGCCTTCGGCCTCCCGTGTCCCGCGAGAGGCCCGGCCGGTGGAGGTGGCCTCTCACCAACGTGAGGCTCCCTGACCAGAGACCTGCCGGTGCTGCCTCCGACGCCCGTGACTCGTGAGGGAACACCCCGTGGTGACTGGACACTGGCCTGCGCTGCTTCCGTTCGCTTGCCGCTGGCGGGGTCGCGGCTGGGTCAGTGACCTGTGTGGAGGTCCCGCTAGCCGGAGAGGCAGAATCGGAGGCTGGACAGGGTGCAGTGCAGGACGGCAGCGGACAGGGGGCGGAAGGGATGGTAGCTAATGGCGCAGGCGCCAGACATGGCAGCGGACAGGGGGCGGAAGGGATGGTAACCAACGGCGCAGGCGCCAGACATGGCAGCGGACAGGGGGCGGAAGGGATGGCAACTAACGGCGCAGGCGCCAGACATGGCAGCGGACAGGGGGCGGAAGGGATGGCAACTAACGGCGCAGGCGCCAGACATGGCAGCGGACAGGGGGCGGAAGGGATGGCAACTAACGGCGCAGGCGCCAGACATGGCAACGGAAAGGGGGCGGAAGGGATGGTAACCAATGGCGCAGGCGCCAGACATGGCATGAGGAGTCCTGCCCGTCACGAGCAATGGCTGTTGGCTAGAGGTGCCAGTCCTAAGGCTATGTTCCTGCTTGCCAGGCGGCTGAATCTGGCAGCCCCATCAGCTGAAGTAGACCGCAACAGTCGGCTAGCATGGTAGCATTTGGTAGCGCCCCAAATTCATGAACCCTCTCGCTGGGTCATCCGGTCGGAGTCAGCCGAATCCTACGGCCAGTGCAAACCAACGATATGTTCTCCCCATTGTAGAAATCGCACAGATAACCTATATAACTGCACAGATAAGGCTGTTTTCATAAGCTGAGGTTCCCCGACAATCGTAGGACATTTCTTTCGCGCAAGAACATAGCCGAGAACAGTACTCGTGAAGTCACCCTGTCCTTTATAGACCAGGCTCCAACGGGCCAGTTCAGTTCGAATCCCCGGCGCTGCAGGCTCTGCGTGCACTGGTCCGCTCCGGCATCCCGTCATCGTCGGCGCCTGGCAGCACAAACGGGACCCGAGAATCCGCGCAGTCATATTCTGGAACAAGCGGCGCTGCGCTCGATTTGTCACGCCAGATGCGACACGCGTTCAATGCGAGGCAAGTGGCGCGTGCTTGCTGCGCGGGGCGCGCCGGCAGGGGTCGCCATTTGCACCATGACCGGTCGGCCGCCGCCTGCCAAGTGACGTCTATTTCCGTACGGAGAGGGCGCCGCGTGCGGCAGTAGCGTCAGAGGACGACCAAGTGTGAAGCGGGGGCGTCCGCGCTGGACGGCCGCGGTGCTTTGTGGCGCTTTACCCGGCGCTGCTGATTCAGCGTGCGGCTTCCAATGAACCTGGGTCCTTGGAATCGGCAACAGACTATCCTCGTCCTGTCTTTGTGTTCCCGTTCTTGCAACAACAAACAAAACAAAAACACACGCGATAACGGTCAAGCAATAGGCGTGGCGCTGTTTACCACATGCATGCAGGCATTTGTTTGTATAATTCGAATGTGCGAGTGAGGACAGCAGGCATAAAGTATCTCAATGGCCTATGAGAGGAAACGCCGTAAGAAACGAGAGCCACTTCGCTGGTTACCTTCCGCTTGGTATTTAGCCCGCACGTTCGTTAACAATAGGCTTAGTATTACACTATGTGCTTGCCGGAAACTGGACAAAATTGAACAAGGTATACTACAGGTGTTTGAACAAGATATTATGCGTGTATATATATATATATATATATATATATATATATATATATATATGTTTATTTTTGTTGAGCTTGGCCACTCCGTCAGCTGTTCTGATTACGGGAGCAAACACAGCACAATACTCTCTCTAGTCCGCCGAGCTCTGACCTTAACGTCGGCCCAATGAAAGGCAAGTGCCCGCCGCACAGTCACGGCTGAACAATGCTGAGAAGAGATGGTGCGGCCAAACTGCCGGGACGACCATCTTACTGCGACAAAACGTTGAACTCATGAAAATTTCAATGGATGTTGACGTGGCCCATTCTGAAACCAACATGCCGCATAATCTGCTAATGCACGAAGTCATGGTTCATTTATGGCAACGTTTTTGTTCATAACATTCCGACAGACTCAAGGAGCAGGCAGTGTTCATGTGCTCGGAATTTCTTGTGCCCAAAAACTGTGTCTTGAAATTGTAAATTTCTACTTATTTCAGGAACGAATATAGTAAGAATGCCTTGTTTGGCCCATTCTCACTAAGACTACGCTGTGCACCCAATAACCCACCCCACACATGCCACATAGAGCTCCACGAAGTTGTTGAGGTGGCCAGGAGAGTGCCTTTCAAGCCAAGTTATTATTTTGTCATGGTTACACGTGCCAAGCGTACCTGTAATCATACGGCCTCAGTGGCTGGAGAAATGTGCCTGCGCACAGACAGTTGGTTGGATACCCCGCCTCTCGTAGAAGATTTCGTTGTCGCCCTTAAGAGCCCTTATACATTATTACACAAGCTGACAGGGAACAGAGACACCCATTTCCCGGAAGATGGAATTGGCACACGTAGTACGTTGCAGACGCACGCTTTCATCGAGATCTCAATGTACGCACGCCGATAGGGAATATGTTGGGCTAAGCTTCAGCATGCAAGGTGTGGCGTTTCAGCGCATTTAACGGAAGTTTCATCATCGCATGTGCTAAATTTTTGAAGTGCTGAAGGACGTAGAATCAAAATAACAAAAGGTAAACATCAGATAACGCTTACAGGCCAGTAACATAGCTAGGTTCCGCCAAGTTCTTTAACGACACAGTTATCGATACGTTAATTTGTTGACACCACACGTTTAAACGACTTCTAGCCGGATACCAGTCAATTCAAGCACAAAACTTGATAAATCCTATTTTTGCGAGCTTACCTGCCAAGCTCCTCGAAAATGTCATAGAAATCCTCCAATGGTTCCGTTCGAAACTCCATATTCACCGCACTCATCTACAGCACTGTCATAGCACACCGTCTGTCGTACCAGCAGCCGCCGGCCCCTGACCGACACGCGCGCACGCACCCCCCCGGCGCCCTCCGACGGCTGACTGCCGACGCTGGTGCTGGCCGGGCACGGCCGCCCGTTTTTGTCCGAACCGCCAGTGTCAGCGACGCGCCGCCCTCTCGCGGCGCGCCGAGCCACCGTGCGCGTGCCGTACCTGTCCGTGCCTTCGGACGGACACACGTGGTGCCAGCCGGAATGAGATGGCCGATCAAAGAGTCACAACTTCGTAGATGTGGCCTTGAGCGAAGAAGATGTTGCTGCTGTAAGTGTGCCAAGAGCTGAAGCAGCGGAAATTTCAGAAGGGCCTGGGGCTTTTCTGATCTGTTGCTTTTCCGGGGGGGGGGGGGGGGGACTGAGGACGCTGCAAAGAAAAGCAGAGTCTGTCCCATTTCCCAGAAGATGAAGACGCAGAAGCTTTCTTGCTTTCTTGCTTTCTTTTTTTGCTTTTGCAGAATACGCAGATCTTTATTCTCCCGGATAAACGCTTCACATGGAGCACTGGCCCTTTTAGGGTGATTGTTGGCGCCAGGTGCGACCTGGTTCAGGAACAATGCTGGTCCTGGGTTGGTCCTATCAAAAGCGCTAGTTCTATACGAGCGTTAGCAGTCGGGATTCAGGTTCGTGAGAGATGTGGCGCATGTCGTCATCACCGGAGCTCAAAAAAGGAAAGAAAAACGCAAGTATTATGCTGGTGAAAGCAAGGAATACCGGCAGATTTACACGAAAATGTGGAAATCTACGATAATCAGCTTATAACTAAGTACCAAGAAGGCTTAGATTACTCAGCTTACAACTCAGAGCAAGATGTGTTAAGTGTTTAACTGTCAGTCAGCGAGATGAAGTATCTTCTCATAAGGTCATCGTCTTCAAACTCCAGGTCCTCGACCGCTCGTTTCACTGTGTGAACTTCGAATGAAAATATTTTCTTTTCGCATGCTGGCAAAGGATGACATTTTGGCTCCTCTGATGGTTTTCTGCGCAAATCGAGGATGACATATCCATGGTAATACGTTGAAACATTTCGGAGACAAAACGTTGGGCTTTTGCTCTCACAAAGCCTCTCAAAACAATCCGTTAGTAACACAAATCGCGCTTGTATGATCTTTCTGAGTACTGCCGTCCGCAAAGGTATTTTTGTTTGGTCAGAGCGTTCGGCCGGTAATCCTTGCGGTCAAGCGTTGTTGGTCCTGGGAGCGACCCGAGCACGCTTGGTCCCCGTGAATGTAACTCAATGGTCAATCAATCATGTATTCTTGCAACCTTGACAATGTGGCTTTTCTGGCTATGTGTCAAGTTTTCAAGGCACACACACATGGATCAAGACACACTAAAACCGGAAACCCTAGCTTCGGCGGGTTATCCCCCGTGCGCACTCCTCGCAGCTCTAAAAGGCTGTTGGCGGCTCCTGGCAGCTCTAAAATGCTGTCGGCGGCTCCTCGCCTGACACTGATTGGCAATGCATCGCTGTGCGGCGCGTGTTCTCTCCGAGATATCGCTGAGCAATGGGTAAGGTTCCAGCTGAGCGTCCCTGGGTAAGCGTATTAGAATGAAGTCACTTTTGATCGGATTTTCCTTCAAACCATTTTAAGTGATCTAGGAGCCAACTGACGCCAAAATTTCCCCGATGTTATTTCTAAGACGATTTGAAGCGTTCGGGTGACGTGTATCGACAAGCTATAAATCATTCGCATGCAGTCGTCAGACGAGCATGCAGTCGGCGATGTGAGATGGAGCCCGTTGTAAACAATAAGAATAAATTTGGTACTAATATCGAACCGTGGATCACACCGTATCTCAGCCGAAAGGCGTCATTTCCATCGAGCGCACGCTGTTTACGATCACAGGATCAATTACGGAACCAATGGGAGCCAGTGTTACGCCACCCAAGCTTCTCCATGAATTGGCCATGCTCGACGCTATAAAAAACGTTGTGTGTCATTCGCCGTTACCGAGTCTGTGTTTTCCGTTGTTAAGTGTTTCCGAGAGATTTATCACCTCATCCAGCATTGCCGTCTCCGTGGAGACCACGGTCCGGAGCCATGTTGTTGATCACAGCCTGAAATCGCGGGATAAATGCATCATCAGTGAACCGCACAATACCCGTGTAACGTTAAGCTGTTATCGCCCTGTTCCGCAGTGGGCGAGAAGCAATTATGAATGCAAGCAGTCTCTGTATCCGTTCGTTTCAGCTCAGTATCCATTTAGCAACACTGCACCCAGCCCAGCGTCCAAACCTCAAAGGCCCAACCCTCTCCGCACCAGTGCGCGCGCGTGCGTCTTCCCTGCCTTCCACCTCGCCCCAGTTGGTGCTGCCATCTGGCCATCCACAGTCACCGCAACTACAAGTTATGTTATTATTTACTAGGTATCGGTAGGTGCACAAGCCAAGCCAAGTGTAGGGGAAAGCGGGGCAAAATGAGGCACCTGGTAAAATGGGCACCCCGCGATTTCGGCTGTTATAGGTGGCGTCATCGGAAATAAACGGTTTAAGCTAAAGCTTCTCTGACAGGGGACGTAAATGACGCGCACCGGGCCTTCCTGTCGACGGCCGTCGCTGGAGGAGGACGTGAGTTTTGGCTTTCCATCTTTTGTTATTATTTTTATGGTGATTTAAACGTTGTTTATTCTACGAGTATAATGAATCGTGAATTCAAAGTTGCTGCGCTTTGATGGTGCATGCATGCAGATTCCTTGTAGGCAATTATGAATTTTTCGGGTTAGTTTTCGTTGCGTGTCGAATCATGTTGTGTTGTTGGCGTCCATGGGGCAGAATGGTTGGGGCAAAATGGGCACTCAGGGGGAAAATAGGACACAAAAGCTCCCGTTTTGCCCCACCTGAAATATGACTATCGCAAGGAAAGTTTGGTTTAAATAAGCCATGAACACAATGTTTCAATGGTAGTAGCAGGCGCATGAGGGGAGCCCGAAAAAAGTGAATCGATCCTGTTTCAGTTCTATGATTAAATAGTGGTCAAACTAATGCGTCAGACTGGGAATGTGTGGTCTTGCGATTTGTCGTTTATTAGTTATTGAAGGCGCGCATGTGATTGCTCTATATTTATCGTTCCTTTTAGGCCTCATTCATTGTAATTCTGTTGTTTAACAAAGCTTATTTGTGAACATGAGAATTGTAAGTACCTACCTGTGATGACTTGATTTAGTATCACGCATTTGCCCATCTCTTTGATAGCCTCTATAACTTACTTGTTAGTCAGCAAACAAGCAACGACTTTCGACCGACCCGTTAGGAAAAGAACATCCTAAAAAGTAGCTTTGACTATGAAAAAGGTGAAAAGATAATACATTTTTGGTCATTATTGCATAAAACTCACAATACATCTCGTACTTTTCCGTACATTTAAATTGTGTATTTCTCTGCATGCACAGGCACTGGCGTAAATACTAACGCGTAGGTATTCTGCCTGACAGAACTGGCGTAAAATACAAATTTAAGTTTTCTTTTCTCTGTTTATGGGCAAGACTCAGCAAATTGTAAAAAGTTTTAATGTTTATTTATCATGTTGTGCCCAGAAACGCTGCCAACTCCAATAAAGTGGGAAAAGCCTTACATTCGCTTTAGACATATACGATTCAGTGTTTTGTTTTTAAATCATTAAATAGTTCAACGGCTTCTTGTTCCTTAAACATTAGGACTGACTTATTGTAAAGTATCACATAGAAGGTGTTTTATCATATCGCCCTTAATATTAAACGTAACTATTTTAACACAAGGAATGCAATGCCCTATAACCAACTAATTATAGGTATGCATTTAGGCATTTTGCTTTGATAACTGTACTTAATTTTTCATCGTAGGCAAACGTTTTCCTAGTTTATAAAAAGGAATATAGGTACACTGGCGGGTCCAGGGGGTGGGGTGGGAAGGGAGGGAGGGGGGGGGGGGCTTAAGGGGCAAATGACCGAAGAGAAAAACCGATCGGCAATCCTGGAAGCAGGATGCGATGGCGAAGACCATCAAACCAGTCAAGATGGAAAAAATGTCCACCAAAGAAGCGGCAGACCGCTTTCTGGTCCCGAAGTCGACTCCCGACAGACGGCTGAAAAAGGCACGAGCAATGTCAATAACAGAGGCCACAGAGAATGTCCTGGGTCGACACGTACCTGTTTTCACGGAAGCTCAGGATCCAGATTTGGTACAGAACATAATGGAGCTCCAAAACCTGATGTTCGGAATAACGCTGACTGACCTCAAGAAGCTCGCATATGATTTCGTTCGCATCGTTCGCAGACAGAAACAAGATCACTCACCCATTCAACACGGTGACGAAGATGGCAGGGGAGGTGTGGATGCGATGCTTCCGCAAGAGGAACCCCACGGTCTCACTAAGGACACCAGAGGCCACAAGCGTTGCTCGTGCCGCGGCGTTTAACTCAGTTAGTGTCAACGCGTTCTTCGACAACCTTGAGTCGCGGATGGATTCTGCCCAGTTCGGTCCCACACGCATCTTCAACATGGATGAAACGGGATTCAACACAGTCACAACAAAACAAGAGAAGGTGCTGGCGAGGAAAGGGTGCAAGCAGGTCGGCCAACTGACATCTGCGGAACGAGGCACGCTGGTTACCGGGGTGATGTGTATCAACGCTGCGGGGAGCTAGATACCTCCAGGTGTGATATTCCTAAGAAAGAGGGCCAACCAGCAGCTGGAGAAGGGTCTTACCTCAGGTAGCCTGGCGCTGTACCATGAGTCTGGTTGGATGCAGAAGGAGCTGTTCGTGAAATGGCGTGATCATTTCATACAGCACGCGAAGCCCTCGAAACAGGACCCAGTCCTTCTCATACTGGATAGACATGCCAGCCACACCAAGATCCTCGCAGCCATCCTGCTGTGCAGGGAAGCAGGTGTGGTGATGCTCATTACTCCTCCGCACACCTCACACCGCCTTCAACCACTGGACCGGACGTTCATGCTTCCCGTCAGCACCTTCTTCTTCCAAGGTCAGAGAACGTGGCTCCGAAACAACCCTGGTAAAGTCACCACGCTGTATGAGATGGGAGAGCTGATCGGGTCAGCCT